GCAATTTCTCAACAGGCTCAGCCGCAGAGATACAGAACGTTGACACCTCCAAGTGATTTTCGTATCACACGTTACGTATGCGCCAGACCCCCTCCCAGCAGAACATCTCGCCATCCTCCAGAATGGGGTGGCTGGTGGGCTGTGCCCAAACATCAGACTCCACAGCCGACACTGGTAAGAGAAGCAGTGCTCCAAGGAAGAGGACTGGACTGAACAAGAATAACATGAGCCCAAGGCTGGAACACGCAGCTCAAAGGGTCACAGTACTCAGGATCTGGGAAAGCCCTCCGAAAGGGAGACGGAGGCGAAAGCACATCTGTGGAGGGGTGCATCCAATGTGGGAAATACCCCAGGTTGTACTACAGTTAGTAAGTATACGGCTTGCCAGAGCAGCTTTGCTCTTAATATTTTTAAGGAGTCCACTCGCTCAGTGCCAGTCAGGAACAGAACTGCTTATTTCCAGGTTCACTCAAAGGTGAAGCACTTGCAGCTGGTAAGAGAACAGGATACTTTTTGTGACCATATTATGAAGCTTTTTTCCTTCAAATTCCACCTCTAAAACATCTTTTGTGGACAGCAGAGACCATGTTAACACTGGGTAAATGTGCTGTCACTGGCAATCTGCCCCAGACACAAGTCATTACAATACCAACCTTTCCGAGACCTTTTTAATCTCGCAGCCTGTCATCAGGACCATCGCCTCCAGCCAACGCAAAGTCTATTTTAACAGGTGTGTTACTGCACGGAGAAGCAGCTCACAGCTTCCAGTTATATTGCAGCAACCAGAGAGAAGGAGCTTGTTTACATCTGTGTGGCTTACCACGCAAAGCTGACTTATTGATTAATAAATCGTTTGCAGAAGAAAATTAAATGATTTCGAGCCACTAGCAACATCTGCAGTTTTGTTAGGCATAAATAAAATTACAGGGGTACAATGTCCTTTGCTAATGTCTTCTGAAAAGACCTCCCTGCATTTAACTGTGACTTGCCCAAAACTGTATTTTCTTTAGCAGAAAATCTTATCAAGATTAAGTGATCCACAGCAGAGAAAAATTACCATAGCACACATGAAGTAAGTATTTACACCTCCAAACTAAAGACTGCCTTTTGACAGCCAGCTAACGTAATGGATAAAAAACCCCAAGTTTGAAAAAAAACAGAATCTTTCCACTTCCAGCTTCAAGGATCTATACTCTAGTTCTGAGACACCACTCTCATCCATTAGTTCTCTGCTGAGGAGAATTAATGACATATCCATTATAACACTTCAAGGATTATAACACACTTACAGTAATAATCCTGTAACTCAAAAACCTGAAACTGTGAAAGCTCATTTGAAATTCATCCTATGCTATGTGCCACCTGTATTTAGCAGCAAAAACCCAAATAAGTTAACTAGGTCTCCCCCTCCTCCGCCCAAAAAAAAAAGAGAGAAAACAAAAAAACAGAGGAGCACTTTTGCAATCCTACTTCTAAGCACTGAGTGGGCGCAACGTCACATAATGCAACACACAGCAGGACGGGCCCTACTGTATCACTTCAAACTAAATCAGTGGAATTCAAACGTCCACCGTCGGCATAGCCCGCGAGAAGACAGCTGCCTCTTCAGGCTCTGAGCCTCCCTTCTCAGCTGGCACGGTGGGGGTCTGTAGAACGCTCAGGTTCAACAACTTGCAAGGAATCACTACAATCCCAAGCTCAGCAGTGACTCAGTCTTTTAAAGCAAGCAGCAATTTTCTGATTATAAACCTCCTTCCCAGTCATTTCTTAGGCACATTCACACTGACCAGGCTATTTATCTATGTTTGCATTACCCTTCTTTGTTCTTCTTCTGCATCAGCAAACAGCTTGCGGATGTTGGCCTCCGATTCGCCCACGTATTTATTGAGGATTTCTGGACCGTTGACCACCTTCGGCTCTCTGGCATTCAGCATCTTGCCAATCTGTCTCGCCATAAGTGTTTTACCACAGCCCGGAGGTCCGTACAAGAGGATGCCTTTCACATGCTTGCAGCCTAGAACAACAGAGAACCAGTTCAGCAAGAGGGCTTACGCTGGAAACGCAGCACAGGACAGAGGGAATTGCTGCTTACAGCCGGGCTGCTTCTGCAGGGATCCGGCAGAGATGTGCCTTTGCCTTAGCTCTGCTCAGTGCCCTTCACTGCCAGACTGGATCAGAGTTCTTCCAACGATCTGGCAACGGCCAAGAAATTAAGCCAGAGAATAGCACAAATGCTCTCCCACGCCTCAGGCACGCTAAGCGAACGCTAAGGACCGAAAGCCTCAGCAATAACTTCTGGTTAGCAGCACAAGGCAGCAAACAGAGCACTCGGTAAGCAGGCGAGCACCACACTTCTCAGCTCAGCAAAACCCGGCAGCGGGTCCCAGGGAAGCTGATCATCCCCAGGCAGCGAGGGGCTGCAGACGCTTGTTTTACACCACCACACGCCCTGAACCCCAAGCAGTTTGGGACAAGCACGTCCTGCATCTGGGGCATTTCCTCTCCTCCTGGAGGGACACCCAGTGCCTACAAAGATAGCCTTCCTTCACGGAAGAGCTTCAACTGAGTTTAATTAGCAGGCATGCAGGGAAAATGAAGCATCAGACCCTCAAAGTTGCTCAGCTGATGGTGAGCGCCCAGTGGAGGCACAGATCAAACACATTTATCTGATTCTTGAAAGACAAAATGAGGCACATCACGTAAAAATGCCTGACTTTCTGTACCTGTATTTGGCTTCAATGAGTCCCATAGAATACATCTAGTTCTGATTCTATGTTTATAGGACAAATATTGAGAACACTGAAAAAGGCTTCTAAGAACCAGTAGAATCACCAGCCCAAGAAGCTTGACATGTAACTAGAAAGACCTGAAAAATTCTCATTTATTCAAATAAGAGGACTTTGACCACTGTGCATGAGCACTGGCATTTAAATTCTCTCCTTTAGGGAAACAGAGGGTGCAAGTTAACGCTGGGCACGTCCCGGTTAGCAACAGGCGCGAGCTTCCTCAGTGTGCACGCAGCTCCTGGCAGAGGCTCCCAAGTGTGAACAAGAAAGGTTTCCCTCAAGGATTTGTGGAGTTTTGCACATACAGCTTGTGAGCCCCAGACGTGTTTTATCAACTGGCTGAATATTTTAAGCACTGCCTTACGCCACGCTAAGAGAGGCCGTGGTACCAGCACATGTCTGCGATGAAGTTTTATTCCTTTAACAGGACTATCAGCATTTAGACAAGATCTAGCCAGGCAGAAAAGGTAACTGCATCGAGACAAAACCTTTTTCCTGGGAGCAATCCGAAGAGGCTGGTGTTGGAAAATCCTGAAACAGGAGAGCAGAGATCATGTATCAGCAGCCAGCTTTAAACACTGAGCACCAGACTCAGGGAAAGCCTCAAAGCCGTAGAAAGCCAGAGTTTCACAGGAGAGGCATCTAACTACAAAAACAGTGAAGGAAAACCGAAGTTGCCTAGAGAAGAAAAGACAGGGGAGCTACAGACTGCCCGATTTAATAGACATGTACAAGACACATTCAGGAGCAGAACGAGTTTGGGTATCATCTGGTCACAAAGTGGTAAGGAAGTAGCAGAGAGAGATATGGAACTTCTTTTGTCTAAAACCTCGTATTTCCAGCAGACCTCCTCCTTCTGTTTTCCAGTTGATATGGAAGATGAAAGAGTAGACAAAAAACTATGAGTAACCAGATTTATTTTCAACCTTTAGGACACAGCAGGTATTTCAGTTCTTTACTTCCTCCTACACCATTTCAAGCACAATTACAAGTATTAATTCCTCACCGTATCTCTTCACTTTGCCCATGGAAAAGACGTGCGGACAGCAGAACACTCAGCCTCCACGGACTCAAGATACCCTTCTCACGTTTTAGACCATCTCGGCCACACGCAGCACCGACAGCAAGCTGACAGACTCCTGCACCTACCGCCCTTCCTCGAGAGCAGTAACTCACGTCATCATCCTCACCGACCAGACCAGCGAGGGCATCCCAAGGAAAGAGACCCTGAGGAAGCTGTAACTGCTGCAGCCTAAGGGAAAACAGCACATCTGGAACCGGAACCTCCACTTGGAACTGCACGGTTTAATTACAGAGGTACGGAATTCAGGAGCACCTTCTCCCTCTCTCTTGCTCCATCTCACCGCTGCACAAGACGCACACGTGTGTGTTCCGGACAACAAGTGAGCAGCACAAGATAGCACTATATCTGAAGATTAAAAAACCCTATGTTTTGTTTCAAGAACATCGATCTAAAACCTTCGAAATCTTGGAGCATTAACTGTTTGAGGTAGAAAGCACACATTCATTAGTGCAAACTGTTCCATGCTGTAGAAGACATACATAACGTATTCATTTTACACGACACTCTTGCAGTCTGACTTTTTTTAAGGAGGCAAACCACCCACCAATCGCCCCGCAGTGCTTACGATACACACTGAAAGCAAACCCCAAAAAAGCAGCAGACTGATGGCACATAGCTCAGACACAGAAGACCCGAGTTCAGCTTCTATCACCATCCCACGTTTAAGAAGTTTGGGCACATCGAGTCATTTGTCACCCACGTGGAACAACTTTCCTCGCAGTTTCTGGCTTGTCTCAGCTCCATGGGAAGTTCACCCCGTACAGGAGAGTCCTCAGAGCAACATTCTGCCTTTAAAGAGCAAGTACTTTTCTCCTTTATTAACTTATCGATACTTCACTGTGATTTCATTTACTCCCGATTATTATAGTGATAAAAAATTAATTTCAATCTGAATAATTGCTCAATACAAAATAATTTCTATTGCCCGCACACACTGCGCTCTCTCTCTCTCTGGTTGTTCACACACTGAATTGAAGTTCCAGGAGAACGCTGCAATGAGGAGCATCTGACCTCACCAAAACCCCAGTGAGCAATACTGCTGCCTTGAATAAGCACAGCGATAAAGCTGAAAGATTTTTCTGGGCTCCTCCACAGATAAAAAATCTACTACAAAAATCAAGAGATCTAGCTAAGAAGAATTCATTGGTCAACTTTCAGGCATCTACAAGTCAAAAACACGAACACCACAGCCTGTCAGTGAAGCCACCTTTCACACAGGAACGCATGAGGCGCAGGTAACCGAAAAGCCCCCCCTGCCAGCCCACTGCCACGGAAGGTGCTGTTGACGCGTTCTGTGGAGGAACACGATCACCTCTGTAGCCAGAGCAGGATTTCGCTGATGAGTGATGCTTTGAAGGGAAATCCCAAGCGAACCGTCGCTCCGACAGCCCCACCGCGCTCCAGCAGGAGAGGCTGGCACAAGGCCAGCGGCAAGCCAGGGCACGCGTGCCCCGCCGGGCCCGGGAGCATCCCCAGGGAGGCAGGGAAACCGGACGGCACAGTAGCATTTTTCCCTAGCACGCTTTCAAAAAAGAAACACGAAGAAGTCTGGTCCTGGTTTTTTTTTCTGGTTTTCCTGCACTTTGAAATCTCTCTCCTAGAAGGAGGTACAACCTGCTTCTAGCCATTAGAAGCTTCTCTTCCGCAGCCCAAAAAACCTGAACCTCATGAAAAGTCCAAATCTTCCCCTCCTCCGCACGCGCTAACCTCGCCCTAGCGAAGAGCCCCGGCTGCAGCGCATGGCGCCTGGAGTCTCCTCTCCCGTCGGGAGCACGTGGGAAGCCAAAGCCAAACCGGCACGGCGACAGGCAGGCGGCTCTGGGGAAACAGGAC